TTCGTAGCGCTGTGATGACGTCACATACGCGCTTTCGTCGACCGCGCTTTTGTCTACCGCGGTTTTGTGGTGGAACCGCCAACATAACCCTGCTCATTCAAAATTCAAGACAGCTAAAATACAATTTTATGCATTTTTAGCTGTTAGGTGACAACAAGAAAAAAAAATGAAGGCTGTAGGAGACCAACTGACCAGGAAAGGACAGCCCCTGTATGTGCCCACTTACCCTTTGACCTGCAAACATGACAACCACAAATGGGTCCACCAGATCCTTAGTATCGCCTATAAAAGCTTTTGTGACATTGGCCATGATGCTGGAGTTCATTTTTGGGAGCTCTTTAGCTTTGTAGATTCTCACATAAAATCTAGCCCAAGGTCTTTCTGATGGAAATCCCTTTGGAATCAAGAGATTTCTGGAAAAGAAGAAGGGGAAATGGAAGAAAGGAAAAGGGACAAATAAGCTAACCTCTGAAGAAAACTCGGCAAATAAATTCCACACAAACAGTTGCATACATCCAAGCAACTCAATGCTTAATGAACTCTTGGCTGCAACCCAAAGCTGTCCAAATTTGCTACCCAAATTTGTCCCCTTTGAATGGATCTGTAGGAGGAAATTATTATCTAGGCAAAATGATCAAGTGACTTTAATTCAGTAGTCTATTACTCTTAATTGCATTCATTACATTCAAACCTAAATTAAATCAAAATTTGATTTATTTATTTTTAAAAGCCAAGTCAAATTGGATGTTGAATTTGGAACAACTGTATATATTTGTCCAGAGCAGTGTTTCTCAACCTTAGGAATATCAATAGCTCTTAGACTTGTATACCGCTTCACAGTGCTTTACAGCCCTCTCTAAGCGGTTTACAGAGTCAGCATATTGCCTCCCAACAAACTGGGTCCTCATTTTACCGACCTCAGAAGGATGGAATGCTGATTCAGCCTTGAACCGGTCAGGATTGAGCTCCTAGCAGTAGGCAGAGTTAGCTTGCAATATTGCATTCTAACCACTGCGCCACCATGGCTCAGAAAACACAAACGTTGTGCTAATTCTGTTTTATTGTGAGGATCCATTAATGGAATCTTGCAAATCTGAATGTACCACGTCCTGTTGTCCCTGTCACTGGAAGTCTGAGTCCACCTTGAGCCAGTGAGAATTGAACTGCTGGCAGTCGGCAGAATTAGCCTGCAATACTGGATTCTGTGCCACCATAGCAAATTTAAGATGTGTAGACTTCAACTTCCAGAGTTCCCCAGTCAGCACTGTGCAGTCCGCACATCTTAAAGTTGCCAAGGTTGAGGAACACAATGCTAAAGATACCGTTCACAAAAGTAATGGTGGACAGGTATTAATAAATTCCAAAAACAAACAGAGGGCCCTCTGTTCAAATTATGACCATGATTTGAAAGAGTTGAATTCCTTTTAGTGCAGATCCATCCTGCCTCTCATGCTTGCTGTTTCAATTTAAATTTTAAATTTTCAGTCTGAATGCCTCCAGTCTAGCGAGGAATGATCAGTAATATCTCAGAATGGGACTGAAAATGAAATGCATGATACGCGTTTCAACATCTTTATTTTACCCACATGCAACCATCAAAGCTTCTCTCCATAAAATCCCAAGAAGTCTGCCCCAATTAAGACCGCCGTTTCCCAAGGAACTCTTTAATCACAAGCAAACCACCAGAGCTAAGAGAGATTTTGCCAAGCAACAACTGAGACCCATGTTATTCCTGCAGGATTTCCATTATTTTGCATGGCAGCTTTAAATGGAAGGTAAGGGCCAGCTGGAGAAGAAGGGAAGTGATGTCATACTTCTCTATCTGCTCTTCGGCATTACTTCCTTTCTGAGTTGCTTGGATCGCGTCTCCTTTTCCCGTCACACTGATATCACATTTGAGATATCCCTTGACTCCTGTCTTAATATCAGCTGGATTTGTGAGAACGGCCCATTTGTCACAGAACTGATGACCTGGAAATATATACACATGAGAACAGCATTCAGCAGGGGTTTTGAGATCCCTGCTAAAAGGATTTTAGCAAGGCAGAATCTGTTTTCCTTGTTACCTTGTTACCTTCTGGGAGGAGGTGTCTGAAGCAAAACATCCAGATTCGGTCACAGTTTTGATCCATATAATCAACCTTGTCAACTGTCAAACTTCCTCTTTCCAATACATATTCAAGATGGATCTTGATTTCTCTGTGTGTGTGTCTATGGTGTGTGTATGTATATGTATATATACTATATATACTATATACATACAGACACTCACACACACAGACACACACACACATGTACACCCACACATAACACAATAATGTGAAGGATGTGTGTTTTTATATGTATAATGTACAATGAAGATGGCATTTAATTTCATTGTACGAGATGCAATGATAATAACGTAAACGAACTAATATATATATATATATATATATATATATATATATATAT